TTAGTTTGATCAAGTAACCAAACTTAATAAATTGCAAGGTTTACAAAGGAAGAAGGTAATCTCTTTATTTCCTTAATTAAGTTTTAATGGGCACAATTGCAAAGGCTTTGTATGTACTTTTTATAATTTTTACATTTGGTTATATTTTTAATGAGCTGCTAGTGTACCTACCAAATTTTACTTGGTTTAGTAAGGAAAGTTTGGTTCTGTCTATTTAGGGTCGTGTAATATGGCTTGTTTCTCTTGGACGAGTGTAAAATATGATGGATTGATTTGATTTTGTTTAATATATTGCTCATCTTAGCTTGGGATGTTGGCCTAGAATTATCCCAATAGCGGAATTGTGTTTTCATGGCTTTTAAAAAATTTTCCTGATCAGTTTGAATAATTATTATCGTGATTCCTAGCATAGCTGCTTCAGTACAGTGAAATATGGAAATTATTTTTGCCTTTTACAACGCTCTTGAGCCTAGATATGGATCTGCGGTAATTACTCTCCATTTTGATCTGTACTTTTGCCTGTTTTTGGAAAGTAGCAGGTTATGATACTTTATTGTCAAGGTGAAATATGTTAGCTGTCTTCAGTTGTTGTGGATTCACTTGCTTCAATCGTTGTGTTTCATCGTCTTGCATTCATAATGTCATTGCTATTTGATTAATGGTTTTGGCTGCTTTATACATGGATGGTTATTTCAGGTTTTGGAATTGTATAGGTAGTGATAATCTGTGATGTTTGGATAGGTTTTAGGCATTTATTATTTAATTAGCTGATTGCCATAGCCTTGATATTCTTTGCTTTCTTGATGTTAGTGTGGAAATGGTAAGAGTTGTCAAGCGCAAACAAGAAGCATGGTTGCACCACCACCACCACCACCTCCTCCTCCTCCTCCACCTGAGCCCACATTCAGTTGTCCTGTTTGCATAAGTCCATTGGTTGAAGAGGTGACAACAAAGTGTGGTCACATTTTCTGCAGGGCATGCATTAAGAAATCAATATCTTCTCAGGGGAAGTGTCCTACCTGCAGGAGAAAGGTGACAATGAAAGATGTAATCAGGATCTACCTACCTACTACTAGATAAATTTGGGGTTTGTTTCTGCTTCTATTATTGGCATTACCAATCTCTCTGCTACCTGTTCATTTTATCAGTGCATACCTTGAATGTATCTGTTAAATGATAGTCATCTGATCTAATCATCACAATTTTTTGGGCCCTACATCATTGATTTGTTTGTGCCTTGTCTTTTTGTTATTAATCATGTGTTTTATCTGCAATACGCCCTTGAAGCTACACAACTTGTTCTATTTATTTTTGGACATAGGTTGCAGCTTTATCTGGTGTAATGTTGTGACTTCATGAACTCACATGAAGTTGACACTGGCTGAGTTTAATGCTTTTGATTTATGGGGCCTGTACTTTCTCTTAGATGACATCCCAATCTTTTTTCTATTTTCATTTGTGCTCTGGATTGTATTGCATTGACCACCAGATTAAGCTTAAGGATCTGGATGATAGGTAAAGTCGTAAACTGGAAAGAATTAGTCCTGAATTGGTGGATTTTGAACATAGGCGCGGTTCTGAGAGCCCTACTTAAAATAATGAGTCTTCATGCCACCTCCTTCTTCTCAAACCCCAAAAAAACATGTAGCCCTACTTAAAAAAGCAAAAGGCAGTCTTCCTCTCTAGTCTGTTATTATGAAGCCCTAGCTGGTCTCCTCCTCCTTTAGGCAATGCTTTTGTTTTTATTGATGTGATTTTACTCGCAAGCAACCTTTGTTTATAATTGGGGGTTTTAGATAACATTACTGTATGCTGTTGGGATAACATTTTATTGACTTGGTATCCTCTCATCCTAGGTGTGTTTCGTTGGATATATTTTTTTTTTAATTAACCGTCTTTGCTGAGGTGTTTGTATAGCATGCTGAAATCCTTTTTTGGTTAAAGTGTTTTTGAAAAATATGAAATGGACTTGATAAAGAGGATTAAATTGTTTTTGTCTGGTTTATGGTTTGAACTATTTTATATGGTCTAAATTTGGTGACAAAATGTTTTTAAATCATCATGCCATACCTCATACCCCACCTGGACTTGTATTGCCTCCAACACAAATCCTGTTGTCTGCCTTTGTCTCTCTTCTTACCTTCTTATTGCAATGCAAGTATTGTAATCCAGCCTTTGTTCTGGTGTGGATGTATGGGCTTTTAACAACCAATGGTGTAGGACAGCTAGGGGTGGTCGTGAGCTGAAATCTTGGGGTTGGATACTGCTGAGAATCACCCCCTTGGTCTAGTGCCATTGAGATCATTTTCTTTGTTTATACTGGTATCTAAGGGTTTGTCCCTGTCAAAAAAAAAATTCTAAAGGGTTTGTGTGTGTGTGTTGGTTAGTGGTAGACTGGTAGTGGTGGAGGGAAGTGGCAGGATATTGAACAAATTGTTTGATTTCCTTATTGGTTTTAACCAAATGACAGTTATAACATCGGTGGCATAGATTGTGTTATCGTGAATTTGTGGTGGTGCTTGGTGCCAAGGAGTTTTTGTGGTTGCTTGCTTGCATGTGCTGTATAAAATTGTTCTTGGCTGTGCATGATGGTGATGGTTATGGCTTCCTCCTGTTGATTGATTATCAGTAGTATTTATTAGACCTTTTTTATTACATGTTTTTCTTTGATATATTAGATTGTTCTGTTTGTTGCTATGCTGTATAAGTAGACATATCAAATTACAGAGTTTATTTTTTGTTTTGTGGTTATTTATGCAAGTATTATTTAATTTGATTTGTTCTATTTAAAGACTTGTGTGACGGTGATTTTGTATTGGACAAAGCTGGTTGGATTGAAATAATGTGATGTATTTTTTGTTTTTTGTTTTGTTCCTCAATGATGGAATATCTTCATTTAATACAAATTCAGTAGGTTTCTAAGGCATATTTGTTTCTCTCCTTTTCACGGGCTGCTTGTATCTTTTATTGGATTTCGTTGCTTTTATTCAATGAACCTCCTCTTGCCCGGAAGATTGAAAACCTTTTTGTGTGGAAACTGTTGTAACTGTAATTTGTGATGTAAATGGCATTCATTTTGAACACCAAATCCTTTGTTTAAACCTGTTATGCTAATAAAAGCTACGTCATATCTGGAAATTTGTACCAAAAAAACTCACTGAATTTTTGGTCATTCTTATTTTTCAACAGATTCCTATCTATTCATTTCAAGGTAGGAAATTCCTGATGTCTTTTGATGCTGGTGGAGGTTAGAAAGAAGTCATTGATCTTCAGCAAATTGTTAATTAAAGCCTTCAATTTATAAAAAAAGGACTAAAAGGTTGGGGAGTATCCCCATTTGCCAATATCCGGGAGTTTGTAAAGTGATGTCCGTTGTATTGGTGGAACTTTTGATGCCCTAATTTAGGTTTTTCTTTCTTATTTCTTTCTTCTTTCTTTTAGCATTAGCCGTCGGGGCTTCAAGCTTACCAAATCCCATTGGGTCATATTATTCAAATGTTGTGGTTATTGACCTTTGATAGAGATACTATCATTGATATTGTTGGCAATATAGATTAGACAAGCTTATCAAAATGATTTGTAAACATTCAATATTATAAATTATTAGATGGATTGGTTTTGGTTAAAACATTTGATGCCATATTGGCAACAATATTCTGCATCTTTTGCCAATGGTATTCTGATTACAGGAAAAAATTGTTTCAGCTTTTTTAGCTGATAAGTTGTTAAAGACTCATTGCCCCTTTTAAAGGGTCAGTATTTTTGTGGCTCGAGATTTCAGTATTGTACTCTGATAATTTCTCCTACAGTTGCGAAGGGCAGTGGTTCTATATACCCAAGGATTTGGTTGTTGAAGAGCTCCTTAACATGCTATTCTGTATTAATTTGTATTGTCTGTTCCTAGCGCAGCTGTGCAGTGTAACCTTAATTTTCCGAATAGATTAGAGTTATTTTTCCAAATAAAATTATGAGAAAAAAGTTTGTTAAGAATTTAAGATGCAACCCTTTACCCTTGTATATTTTAAAGGCATAAGCAACAGGAACCTTATATTCATGATTTTTTTTTTGTTTAGAGCATGAAAACAACAGTGACATTGCAAACTTCACCAAACAGGTAAAAGACTTTATTCATAGTTCATACATATACTTCAAGTGTTAGCATAGTCAGGTGCTCAGATCATGGTGCAGCTGCTACTGTTTCAGCATTCGGATTACCCTTGTACAGGCTTCCTTCGAAACCATGGAAGAAACCAAATCTGCCAAAAGGACCAAAGAGAAACCCAGGCTTACCAAGGGGAAAGACGCCAAGGAATGGGTGCCCCAACAAACCAAGTCCTTGAGGCTGATAGACTTTGTCCATTGGCACTTCTCTTCCAGACACGGAACCAGTAAGGACTGTCCCGAGGACCAGGACTAAAACCAGCAATGTTGCTGGCAGTTTCATCATGATTTTTTCTTCTCACTCTTTCTTTAGATATTGCTCTTTTGTATGATATAAACGTGCAATGAAGAATTGGTACATATACACGAGTGACAGAAATCAAAACCTGTATATGAAGTATTGTTGTTCAATATACTCTGCACTGACAAGATGGTAAGAAATGGGGGTGGTTCTTATTTTGGTTATAAATTTGGTAGAATTATTACTAGAATTTTACACAAGGTGAGTATAATCTCCACTTTACAGAAAAAGACAATATATTGCATTCTGTTTTAGTATGTGTTAGTTGTTCAATTAGATGCATTTCAGCTACTTCACCAACTTGGGAAAAGTTTGCTCTACCCTGGAGTAATTTGTATCAAAGCAATTTATTGGCAGTATTTTACCATTATTCTGGGTTAATTCTGAAACTAGATCATTAAGCTGAGCTAATGCAATACACAGTTCATTGATATGAAGCACAGTGAAGATAGAATGTTCGAGGCTAATCAAAATCTTCGTTGTCGTTGCTTCACGGCTGCAAAGTTATGAAGTATAGAGTATTAAGTATCCGCAACTATGCTGGCAAAGGAAACTCATGTTTATAACCAAATTCCCAAATGATGAAGAAAACAGTACTATAAATTGCACCAAATAGGCAAATACTACATACAAATTTAATTGGGCCGGCAGAGGGCTAGTGTTCTTCCTGATTCTACGACGAAATCAAAATATTTATCAAGTGCAAAAAGAACGCAAAATAATATAAATGCAAAATCAACCTCAATAACTAGGGTATACTGAAAATAAACATGAAAAGAAGCAAGAAAAGAATGATCATTGTCTCTGAGGCTTCCTTCTCCATTCAGTGCGTCCTCGGTTGATTTCGGACCCATCAGCAGATAATCTCAACAGATGCAAGAACTGAACACTATCATTTTCGTCTTTAGTTGATGTGGGAGCTCCATTTGTTCCATTCTGTAATATGGATTCATTTAATTTTATTGGTTCGGCACTTGTGAGAGAATCTACAACATCATTACGCTGACACTCTCGTCTATAGTCCAAGGTGATGCTTCGCAACTCATGAGTGTCCACGAGTTCTTCAGGGGTACTCTGCCAAAAGATACACGATGTTAATTGCAAATAATTAGACCATATTGTTTTTACACAAGTACACGCCCACTGACCTGATGGGGAGAGCATAGAAAATATTCAATTAAATATAAAGTTTAGTGTACTCATGATGGCTAAAAACGTGACAACTAGATGAACTTATTCCAAATGGATGAATGTTCACACATGTCTTTTTGGTAAACAGAAAGCCACCTATGATGGAAAACAAAAGTCTGCAAGGAACTCGCAATAAAAAGGACCTCAACTCACCTCCAGAGTCCATCCAATGTAGGTTACATTATTTACATGGTGGTTCATGTCCAGATCACCTCTTCTGGGCTGTATAATATTCGACACACAAAAAGTTTCATGTTAGTTAGAATAGAGAAATTCAAGCAAAAAAAAAAAAAAAAAAAAAAAAAAAAAAGTCACGTTTGTAAGTTGTTTATGCTCAACAATTTAACAATCTTACCACCAGCCCTTGTTTTGAATATTGAGCAGGATCTTCCAGCTTTGATATTTTCTTCAAGCTATTGTTGTTTGGCTCAGGAAATGCTAATCTACAGATGTCAATAAAAAAAAAGCTATCATTAGAATGAGGCATCACATTATATTTTTCAAATTCTAGACAACCACCTTGCATAGTCCACCTAGAGGGACATTACAGAGGATCAACTGAGGAATCCAAGTAAAAGATTTAATTGCTGGGTGAAGGGATAAGCACAGTAGCTAGCTTAGTTGGTAAAGTTGGGAGTGGTGGGAGGTGACTTCCTAAGATTAGGGATCAAATCCCATCTACATCATTGCTCTTTGTGGCTCCCTATTGACCAAAACCAAAAAAGTTTCTGGATGAATAGAATTTTGTTTTCTGGTGAAAGAAAAGGATCTTAACAGGGCAAAACACTGATGAGGCAATCTATGTAAACCTGTAAGAAGCCTTACATACGACATTATATAACATGTAGTATTAATATTGAAATCCCAGGGCCCAGAAATCCAGAACAAGATGTAAGAAAGCAAAAGTTGGCAATCAAATGATAAATTAAGTCCTATTTTAGTTGGAACTCTAGGAGGTTCTTGAAAAAGAATGGTGACAAAAATTATCCGTAAAATAAAGACTTGAGAGAAAAGTATAACATAGCAGCCCAAGGAAGACTCATAAAAGTCTAAGCTTTGCTACAGAAATCCTTCTTTTATCTTTGAGGCAAAGGAAGAGGATGAATTGCTCAAAAAATTGAGAAAAGCTTAAGTGCGTTGTGCTGTAATTGCTCTATCTAAACCTAATGATGATAAGGAAGAAGATTCAGTTAAAAGATTAAAATAGTCCACAGCCAAGATAAAATACACCAGTGTATTCTGATCATTCAAGATGTTTGTGTATTTATATATTTTTTGGAAAGGGGGAAACTAAGGAATGGTTGCAAAAATCCTCCTAAACTCTCATTGCTGTTTATGCTAGCCTAAAGGAATACACAAAGGTTGCTCACCAAAACTAATGCAAAATATACCATCAAAAGTGTACATGGAATTTCTATGTCACTACACAAGGCAATGCATGCAGATAAAATTGTATGAAAAGATAACAGGCAATCCTTTGAAGATATCAGGTGTATGCAAGGTAGAGAAACACTGAAACTTGCAAAAAGATAATGGAAATTCATCTCCAATAGGGGTTGATGCCAAGCAGAACTTTCAGGCATACAAAGTGTACTGTCCTAAAGATTTTATTTGTCCACTACGAATCTACAATGAAGTTTGCCTTTATTGGTGATCACATCACCCAAAATTAAGTATCCAAGTATACAAGTAAAAGACAATAAATAATGAGGATTCCCATTCCTCTCAGCTGTCCACTCTACTGGAACTGTTACACATATTCCCTAAGAATATATTCCTCTCAGCCTTAGACTCAAACGATAACCACCACAAAGCAAAGAAGTTGAGCACAAGAGGTGCAAGAGCATGTAAATTTGCAAGGTCCAATTGTATACTATCTGGTTGTCACATAGATATAGTGAGATCTTATACACAACCATGGCATGCATATACATGGTACAATTGAGCACTTATCCATCTTTCATAACTTTGCATTTGTTTCATTTGCACTTATCTACAGTATATTGTCGTTCATTAATGATTGATCCAAACCAAATCTAGTTTTTAATTAAAAACCCACATTAGAAAACAGCCAGAGTTTCATTGCCAAAGAATTATCACATCATGATTGTTCTAAACGCTTGGAAATAGATTAAACAAGTGATAATTGAAAGAATGAAGGCTTATTAGACACTTAAATTCATACCTGCATACCAAGATTCATATAATGAAAGGGTTCAAAAATGTGATAATGAGCAGTAAACCAGCTAATAAACTACAAATGCAGGATGACAAAAAGGGAAGCATGGTTAAGACTACAACTAAGATACATCAGAATATATTGCAGTCTTCAGTCTTCTATCACACACTAAAAATGCACACGCAGATATATTAAAGGGCTCACCGAAGCTCTTTTGGGCAATATATCAAATATTCCTCGCCAATTTGAGGAGTAACTCTCTCCAACCTTCTTGTATCCATGTTCATCATCACCCACTTACTGCAATAAGAAAGAAAACTGGTAAGCAGCCATCTTCAACAAAAACCAATACAGGTTTTAGGCTTTCTTAAAATGTACCAAAGATAATGGGTTTATTATTCATCAGTAAGAGACCACTTCTCTTTTTTTTTTTTTTTTTTATGGGTAGGACCGGGGGGGTGGGGGGGGGGGGGCGTTGACCATACAAAAGCCTTTACAAATGCCTATATGGCCAGACAACATTCCTATCACAGTGGAAATTAAAAATATATTAAAAAAAAAAAAAATCTTACTCAGTTCCCACCTTCCACTATTGTAAATAATGAACATAGGTCTTCTGAATCAAATTGTGCTTTAGTGTCATCTAATTCAACATTGAAGAAGAAAGGCTAATTCCATAACGTCTACAATAAATTTTTCAACAAAGACAGGAAATATACATCTAGCAAACAATCTTTTGGTAAGGGTAAATCCTTATGTAACTTAAACCTGTATACTGTACAATACACATTTTATTAAGACATCAATCACACAAACATTACCTACAACGAATGAGAGAAATGAGAAGAAATAGGTCTGATGACGGGAAATTACCTAGTAGCTCTTCCAATAACTTCACCATTTGCATAGTCCTTAAGAATGAAATCACGCCTCGTCCCAATTTTTCCTTCGGCTTGGCACCACGTCTCTATCTCAACTACATCACTCCTGCACCACATATAAGACATGTCAATGAATAACATGACCTGAAAAACCTCAACTTCGATAGAAAAGGTAAACATACCAGGCTGGATATCGGTATATCTCAATGTGCATGCGGGCAGTCACCCATATGAGATGAAGCTTTCTCATGGTAGGGGTTGTTGCAAATCCATCAGTTGAAAATCCAACACTTTGTGCATGGTTGCATCCCACTTCCTACATCACAAAGACCCCTTCTAACATTATAAGGGAACAGAATACAGTCTGTATTCATAAAGCAAATCCTGTAAGAGAAAAAATCTCTTAACAGCACTTTAATTACAATAGTTGTTTTTCAAATTGATACCAATATCATGCATCTATGCATAGTAGAGGATATCGGAAAATGACAAAGAAGAATCCGTTCATGGAAATTGCATAAAGAATTACCAGCACAGTGTTACACAATGACTATAACACAGATCAAAGAATAATCAAAGACGTGATCAAATGAGTCTTAGTTCAAAATTTGGCATTTACGAAGTACAAATTTTCAATGGTTCAAGTTCAGTATCTCTTGAACTACGGGTAACAACGATCTTTGTCATATGTTCCTTGAAAAATAAAATGTCTAAGCTATTGGTGTAACAGTCATAAGAAGTCATTTTATGCTTCTTGGACCATAATCACAATCACAGCCATGATCCCAATTGTTTTATGTAAAAGACTACTCCTCCAAATGATCATTGACAAGACCAAAAAGTAAAACATTAAACTTCCTTGCAAATGACATCACTATCAAGAATCAACTGGACAAGCATACATTAGAAACTTTTAATCAAGCTTATTTTAACTGATGTCACCAAAATTCCAGCAAAACATTCATTTAAAAATCTCCAATAAAGGATAAACTGCCAAATTCAAGTCCTCAAGGCTCAGATCAAACACATTAAACAGCCTACATCAAGATCATAAACTAAGAAGGTAGTTCCATAAGATATAAAAATCTTAAATATGAGAGAATTCTAACATCTATGATCCTGAATGATACCCAAACAACAAATAACTGACTAATTCATACTCCATATCCTAATTCATACTCCATATCGCTGAAACTTGTTAATCCAAATTCAGCAATCACCACAAAGAATTTTAACAGCCCAATAATCCAAATTTACCAATAAACATGTAAAAAGCCAAAAGTTAGACAAACTCATAGATCTAATTTCTCAACTACAGCTCATAAACCAAAACTTCATCAAATCCAGCAATCCAAAATTCAGCATTTTACCACTCAAAAACTTGATCAAACCCATTATGCAAAATATATCAATAATCCATGGACCAACCAAAACCAATTATGCTTCATTATTCCAAATTCACCACTCAAAAGCCAAAATTAACCAAAGTACCAAACCCATAATTCCAATTCACCAGATTACTACTCTAAACCAAAATTTATAAAGCTTATTTTACCAAATTCACCACTCAAAATCCAAATTTAATCAAACCTAAGATTCCAAATTCACCAGATTGCTACTCGTGAACCAAATTTTTTTACCAAATCCATTAATCCATATTAACTGATTTAACACTCAATAACCAAATTTAATCTAACACGTCAATCAAAATTCACCAAATTACTACTCAAAATGCAAACTTTCATAAAACTAATAACTCTAATTTCACCATTTAACACTGATAAACCAACACTTGATCAAACCCATTAATCCAAATTCAAAAATCAAAACATAATCTTCACCCACAATTAGAATCTCATTAATTGACACTCATAAACCAGAATTACACCAAACCCATTAATCCAAATTCACCAATTAATCAAACCCATTAAACAAAATTCACCAAATTACAACTCAAAACCCCAAACTAAATCATACCCATAATGCAATATCCACTATTAACCCCTCATAATCAAACAAAAAAACAAAAATTTCCAACAAGTTAAAAGGAGAAATTACCTGTAAAAGATTAGCAATAGTTTCAACAGTAGCAGTCTTATTAATCCCAACTTCATAACTCCTCACAATAAAATTCTCCTTATAAGACAACCCATCTTCAGTCAAGCTTCCTAACCGGAGACGGTCCGCCAACCCGATCGAACCCGACCCGTTTTCAGTTTGGGTAAGCCCATTGTTACTCGTCGTTGAAACAGAAACAGACAGATCAGGGCGTTTCGAGCACGGAAAAGAAACGTTTCGGCGACGATTCAAGTTAGGGAGGATTTTGGGAGAACCCCAGAAACTGCATTGAGTAAAAGATTGAATTTTATCACTTACTACATTGCATGATGAATTCAACATCGTGATTTATGATCTCTGATTTTAATTTTCAGTGATTTTTCTCTGTTTCTATTTGTGAACAAATTGTATAATTTTCGTGGGTTTTAGACTGAGTTCGATAACATCGAAGAAGGGTTTTTTATTTTATTTTATTTTTTTGGCTCTGAAATTTAACTTTTACAATTGGGACGATGGAGTCACTACAACTGTGCAACTCAATTAAAAATAAATTAAAAAAGATGCAGGTGAGAAAAGTCTACTTGTTTCCCATAAAATTAGGAGCAGACTTTTTGGTTCTTTTAGATTTACACATGTGATCGATATTAATAACAGTAAATTTTTTATGGTAAATGGTAAATTTATTTTTAACTCCGTTTTGGGGATGAAAAATAAAATCAATTTTAACTCTTTGGAGTGGTAGTCCACCTTTTAAGTCACCCAAAACGAGTTTTTGCTAATTCTAAATATTTTTTACAGCAAATAATAGTTGTCTACAAATCGATACATTTTTGTCACCCAAAACGAGTTTTTGCTAATTCTAAATATTTTTTGACGTGTAAATCGATACAAAAATGACCTCTAAAACCTTAACCGAATATTTTTGGACGCATAAATCGATGAAAAAGTTGAATCGGGTTGCAATATTCAATCGCAATTTTTTTTTTTAATTTGCTGCAATTTGCAAAAAAAACAATCTTTAAACGGTTGCAATTGACAAATTTTCCTTTTAACTTTAGACAAATACTTTGCAATACATATGCTATTAAGTCCAAAATAAGTGGCTAAATATTCACTATTAATAAATTACAATAATATGTAAAACAAAATCTTGTGAATTAAACATTTAAATGAGCCTTAATTAATAAGTATGACAAATAAAAGGATCAAAGTACAGAAAAAAAAAATTAAGGACATTAAGAAAAGAGTTAGGGTATATTAAAAAGTTCTTCATACAAGACACTTTGATTTCAATAATATGACCTTAGAATTTTATTTGCTTTTTTTTTTCCTTTCCTCTCCTTATTAACACCTTTATTTAATAAATTGAGGCCAAAGGCTGTTACTTGTTCTTGTTATTCAGTGAGTAGTTACTCTGAAGTAGACCCTTAATAATCTACTCTACCTGACCTAATGCTTTTTCATATGTCTTGCCAAACTTTGTGCTCCACCCTTTCCTCTTTCTTTGCTTTCATCTAGAATATTGCTTGATTAAACCTTGAAAGTCTCGACTAATACTCCTTATGTTGCGTCAAAGTAGTTGTATGGAGGAAGGAAATTGTGCTTTTAACACAACAATTAAACATAAATCTACTTAATTAATCATCTAGCTTGACACGATAATTGCGCATGAGGATGTTAGACAAAATGGTCGTATATTTCTAAATATCAACACATTAATGTATAATGATACTCATTATAAAAAAGAAATCTGACAAGAATAATCTCAATTATGGGCAGCTTGTTCATAATGATCACATTATTTGATTGTTTTGAAACGCTGAGTCACTAACTACGTAGGGTGTCTTTCCAAAATGATTGATACTTTGGTGATACGAAATACCACCCTACACTAGCTACATTGGCTATTAATTTTTGTGTGATCAACTTATAACAGATCATTAATTGAGGCTTTCTAACATAAGTTCACTTTAGTTTGTATTATGGTTAATTCATAGAGCATAAAAAGATGGCAAAACTTGCAAATGATAACATGACTATTCTCATCTAAATCTAAAGATAACCTCAAAATCAGCAAACAAAACTCTTAACAATATTTTGCCAAAAATACAACTTTTGCTACTCTTGCTAACAAAAGCAACAGTCTAATAATAATAATAAAAATATATATTACTCCATACTATTTTCCAAATGAGTTACAAGGACACTACAAATTATCAAAGAGGGAGATATTCGAATTTGTAACATATTTTAAACAAACCATCAATCTTTGTTAATAGGCCGAAACCTCATATACCCCCAGTGTCCCACAAAGAGATCAAGTGCATGTTATCCAGATCCTCTGAATTATTTCACATAAAAAACTTAAGGTTTAATATCATTATATATGCACCCAAATCCAGAGGAAAAATGGACCACCCAGGTTTGGTGTCCTTACATGCATAACAAGTGGATAAAGAAATTTTCAGCTTTCTGTTGCACAGCTTATATGCTCGTGTCTGTAATAGAGCCATAAAATTAGTCCTGTTGATTCTATAGCAGATATCTGAACATGAGTAATTGACAGTTTATACAACGGTTTACATCAATACATGGACCATGCTACCACCTTTATATGTCCTATTATGTGCAGAACAGCTAATTTAGTGTCTGTATGAGAAAACGTTGCCGGCTAGTTTGTCGTCTCTCTCTTGAGATAGCCGATGTGGTAATGAGCCCAAAGAAGGGGTCGGGTGTGGATTGGATCTTCTGAACTCAAGGTTGGGAAACCGAAGAGGACATGAGGTACTAAATTGTACCATATGTCCATACTCCACGATCCTCATGTCAGCTAGCTTAGTTGATGATAAGATGTTACGAGAGCTGTATATAACATTTTGATTGGTGTCAAACTGTCAACGACTAATAGCTGCAATTCAATTTTAGGCATATGTAATTATGTATTACATGAAGAATGAGAAATTGATAGTGTACAGTGGAGCTACAACATTTCTTTCTAATATTTTTCTTATTATTCAAGAGGTGCCTGTCTACAAGGGTGGTGACAACAAATTAGTTACAACTTACAGTGTAAGAAAATGGAAACAATGGCAAGCGGCTTCACTTTTCATGTACCACAAATGAAGAGTTATAACTTTATCGTATATCCTTTTATCTTCTACATTTCACAATCTGTAGGTACATCAAAAATTCCACCTAGGCGAAGAATTTACTGCAGTTGGCCGAGGCCTGCTTGGCTGTGGCGGCGGTGGAGGGTGCTGCTGTTGCTGCTCGTTGTTCCGCTTCTTCATGATAGAAGAGACTGTAGGACTAAAATAGTCCATTGTCTTGTGAGATGGAGCTCCTTGTGAGTAAGTCTTTCTCGGCTGCATAAAACTTCTCTGCTTTTCCAAGGACGATGTTCTTCGAGCCACAGGATTCCGGTGAACAGGACCCCACCTATTGTAGCTCACACAACTTTGGCTCCTCCCAACAGGCTGGAACTTCCCTTCCCTAGGGCTAGTATAATTTCTGCTTTCAGCAGTTTCTGCTGAATACAATGTCTCTCCATCACTACTCTCTGCATCTCTCACTCCTGAGACCCCTACTGGTGAACAGCTAGACTGCACCTCGCTCTGTGCATCACCCACTGATCCAGTTGAGCCAGTTTCCTCCATCACTGCAGCCTCTTTATATTTCATTTGGTGTTCCTCTTCTCTTTCCACTTTGTATGAACTTTGTAAAGGAGCTTCATTCACACAATTCTCACCTGAGCCCGGGAGAAGATCCTTTGAAGGTTGGGTTGGTGGGGCTTTAAATATTCTTGGAGGGAAGTTGATATCTAAGAGTTGGATTTGTGTCGTTTCGTTCTTCTTTACAGGATTTGAAGTGACCTTTGGTGATTCATAGATTTCTGGAGTTGGAATTCCCTGAAGGTGAGTGGTGCTACCATGTGGTTGCAAGACTACCTTTTCCTCCTCACCATTGTGTCCAGCAGCAGAACACCCTTGTCCAGACTGTTCTCTAGGTTTTGATACGGTATTTGAAGATGATGTGGTTCCCTCAATTTCTTCAGTTGCCTTGAAAACTTGCCTCATAGTAAAAGAAGCACAAGAATGCTCACTTCTATGGCCTGCTGACATCAGCCTCATCAGTGGCAATTTTGGTTTGCTTAGGTCATCAAGGCTGCCTTCCCAGTGCTGATTTAGCCAGTCATAGATGATTGGCATCGGGATGCCAAATTGCATAGGAAGATCCTTCTTCCAAGATGCTGAAGAGGATGATGAGGTTGAAGAAGATTTGGTATTTGGTGAGGTGGCTAGCTTCATTGGATCACAGATCATGAATGCAAGGTTGCCTTGCGAATCAAAACCAGCAGATCCAGGGCTCCAAGTAAAGCCTTCAGTGGATAGTTTTATGAGATTATCTGTAGCTATAACCACTTTCCCTTCACCCATGGACAGTTCTTTTTTCTCTGCGTGCCCAAGAAGATATACAATGTTGCCTAATTCGAGGTTTGGTTTAGAACAAACTTTAAAGTGAGGTTGCTGACCATGTGCAACTGAATCTCCTTCAATGGTATCTAAGCCCACAATAGTAAGATCAAGCACTGAACTGGTGATGAAAAACCTGAGAGCAGTTTCGGAGTTACAAAAATAAAGGATCAGTTAATAGAATAGATGACAGTATCTTCTAGTCATAGACTCATAGTCTGAATCGTCAACCACCGGAGCAGATGAACTAAATAAGGAAATCGCCACAGATGAGATAATTAGGAAATCTTCCAACATATTTTACTTTACATGTATAATTTTAATTCCTAATACTTCGTACTCACTCACCTAAAAACTAACAGTCAACTAGTCTCTCCAGCAATTTCCAATACCAACGTGCTTCGAACCTAAAAAATTTAGCCTACATTTCACTGTTTCATATATCTCTCCTCGTCACGTAAGTCCTTAAATCTAATCATACTCTTTTAAAATCCAATGAATAGATAATCTACTAAATTTTCTTCTGCTTCAGAGGTGATTCCATTTATTCAGAAGCGGCTTCCAACAATTCATAAATCACAATCCTTCTAAGAAAGTAACTTTGTCATTCTTCCAAGAGAGCAACAATAATGCTTTAGAATCCAGATGAATACACTAGGTTATTTGAAAAAGAAATAGCAAAAAAACCAGAACTGAACCTGGATTTTATTCTCAGTTTAGTGAAATCTTTTATTTTCCAGTATCCTAAATAAGTAGTGTATTATGATCTATGAAATAAAGTTTGGTTAAAGCATGCAAAACATCAAATTGAGGTGATGGGACATGCATATATAAGGGAGTAGGTTTCAATTCAAACAAGTTAACATACCATATAATGTCCCTAAATCCATATATGGAAGTTTGGTTATTTGTTAATTAGCACAAGTAGATTGGAGGTTAAAGAGTAAGGATGGAAATTGGTATTGGAGTTATATTAAGAAATTTACAAAGAGATTTTCGTCACTCAATATGGTTTGTTATGAAAAAATATCGTAATGTATAATGAGATTACTAAACAGACTAATTAAATACCTTCCATCCTTTAGATATGGCAAATTGGTCAATTAATATTTGGTTAGATTTCCTACCTCTAATAACCCCGTCACAATCAAAAGATAATAAGAAACCTTAAATCTTAATCTCATCCCTGTGTGTGTGTTTGTGTTTTTTTACAAAAAAAAAAACTAAATCCCACCAACCAAACATGAGAATTGTCATTCTGAGATCCCGTTTGCTATTCCCATCTTTCTATCCCGTTAAAAACAAACGGCCCAGGTACAAAATACCTCAACAAGAATCAAGCCTATAATCCTATATAACCACAAAGTCTTGCAATTCTCTGCTCAAAACCTTTAACCAGGATGATAATATGGTCTGCTTATATACTGAAAAGGCACACTCCATCAATCGTTTGCAACTAAAACTTATTCAAAGTGACTACATTATAAAGGAATGACACTGACAAGTCTACATTCACAACAACAAAGCCTTAATCCCAAAAATGCATACACCTAATAAGCTTTACAATATCATTGCTTGGAACCTTTACCATCAGAAAAAAATCAATAAATAGGATTTATAGAACCGATTGCATTCCAAGTATCACTCCAAAATTAGCAGAGCAAGCCATAATTTCACCTACATAGTGGCCATGTGTATTCTTATATATCCAATTGTATTAGCTATGCTAAATCAAAACTTCCAAGACTAGCTGAAACTCCAACATATCTTTTAATTTTCCATGCCAGGAAACTAGGAAAGCTTCTTCAGTTCCTCCATGGCTTTATCAACCCAAGTTATTCTATATCAACCTCAGCAAATATCATAATTACATTATAAATAGCTCCACAAACACATCAATCCCAGACCATCTCCTTAGTCCTTATATAACAGAATCTTCATAAGGTCATTTTCAACCGTTCCATCATGCTTTTTATGTCTTCAAAACAATAAATTTCATAATCAATCTTCATGCTCAACAGCCAATTATCATACTAAAAATTGAAATCTAAAACGTCAATACAACTAAGATTCTCCTTTAACCTCTCCTTTCTACTAAGCTGATCAAATGCAAACCTGCTATCTGTTCAGTGGACTGGAATTCTCAATCTGTCTATCATACGCCTGGTTTACCAACCAAATCCAGCCACTTACATGTCAAACATATCACAGTTTATCACATGCTCTAGCACTTACCTACTCATTTTGTACAACCTGTCATGACTTATGACCAGCAAGGATTCTTAGAATCTGAAAAGTATGTCAGATTATTCTATATACAACAGATGGGCCCAAAGTAATAGAATATTTCCCTTTCTTGATATGACATCATAGTTTACCACATGATTACCATAGTTATCTTACACATCCGATATTCCAAAGCTCTTAGCACAAATTTATACTTTAATAGGCGTAAAAGGTAACGAGAACATTTCAAATTAAAGCATAAGTTTTACTAGTGTAAATCATTGCTCCACAAAATGTGATCTCCATCAATTTCACCATCCTGAAACTCTAAATTTTAAATCATAAAGCACAAGATTTCTTTATTGAATTTTTTTATTCATTTTCAAACTTAACAAAAAGCAATCAATGATACAGATTACTATCTTTTAAAAAAAAGGTTATAGTAACTGTTCATAGTAACTCAAATATCATCAGAATCTTCAATAAGGTTAAAAAAAGGATGGGGTCTACAAATTTGCAGGTCAATTACTACACCAAACTATCTGTAATTTTTTACAATTACCTTCAAATTTCTCACATTTTAACTGATAAATTCATCATATCCCAATTAACAAAACTATTCAACAAATCATTTCTTCTCAATTAACACTCAAATGAACTTGAATAGTAATTATAACCCTCAAATCTGGCAAATTTACAATCCAATTGAGAACAAATAATAACTGACACTACTAAATTGCATTCAAACAACAAATCCCAGAAAATTTAACATCAATTTCCCAACAAAATCATAATAAAATCAAACAAAAGATGATAAGAAGTTTCACCTGTGAGGCACAAGAGTGGCAGGAACACCATTTTGAAGCCGGATCTCAGCAGACTCAGCAGCATTAACAGAAGGAATGTTGCCATGTGTTGTCAGAAGAAGGTTCCTGTGAATCAAAAACCCAGTTCCAGAAGCTTCTCCGCCGCCACCGACGGAGCTTCCAGAGGCGGAAGAAGCTGAGGAAGCTGAAAGTTTCGCCATTGCTGAGCTTTTAGTAGTAAAGATGGCAGCTTTAAGTCTTTCAGACTTACCCCCACCATTGCAAAAACACCAAGATTCACTCAACACCCTCATTTTTAGCCAACTTTTCACCCAAAACTCAAAAAATTGAAATGGGGTTTTTGAGATACAATGTGGGGTAGACCTTCAAATTAAGGGTTAGATCCAAAGAATTTGGGGCATTTTGAGAAATGGGTAGTTCATCAAATTTTCTCTCTCTTCCCCTTTTCAGCTCAAATTGGAGTTACTGGGATTAAAATGGAAAGAGAAAAGAAGAAAATTAATTTAAGGAAATAATCAGAATAAAGGGCAGCAGAATAATGGAATATTAGGGAATGTTTACAGTAGATAGAAATTGAAACTTTATTTTAAGTTTTCTGAAATTGATGGGCAAAATATGAAAGGAAGACTGAAGAAAGGAGAAAGGAGAAAGGAGAAAGAGGATTGTGACCTTGATTGGATAGTGAAGGGTACCAACGTGAGTAGTGAAGAGTGAGACGTGCTATGAACTAAACTCAATTTTACATCGTTTTCTTCTTTTAGATGTGTAGTGAATTAATTTAGTTATGAAGAATTGAAGATAGAGTTTGAAATATTAGTCCATCAAGGACTTTTGAATTTCTATATATAATTAACGAATAATTATTACGAAGTATATATCGGTTTAATAAATAATATTTCCTCCGTTTCTATTTAGTTGACTCGTTTGATTTAGGCACAGTGAGAGAGATTGAAAAAGCAAGTGGGATAGTTTATTAATACAAGGTAAATAAAATTACCCCAAAAGGAAACGTGTCAACTAAAAAAAACTTGCTAAAAAGGAATACGTGTCAACTAAAAAGAAACGGAGGTAGTAGTTTGTGAAAAAAAAATGATACAGAGTAGTACTTTTTTTTTTTTTTTTTTGGAAGAATCAGAGTAGTACAATTTTAAATAGTGAAATGTTTATTATGTTTGGATTTTAAAGATAGATAGAGTTTGACTTTCATTAAATAGGAATAAAAATCAATTGCACAAGTATTTGAAGGATAATTGGTAAGAATGTAGGATGGTAATGGTACAATATGATTAGTGGTACAAAATAAGCTTGATTTTTTAAAAAAAAAATGGTAAGTAGAACCCTGACAATAACTCAATCCTAACGGTTTTTTTTATATGATGTTTACGGGTCAGACACTTGAGAGTAAAGGGGAGAGTAAGTGAATCTTTACTCCAAAGGCCCAAGTACCCTCACTTGGTAAGGTTGGGTGAGCCAACACTTTAATTTGTTGGTACAAAATAAGTTTGAATTACTTAAAATCTTATATGTAGTATATGAAATTGAGAGTTTGACCTTGCTATTTGTCATTTTGACTAACTGAATTTGCCAAAAAAAAAAAAAAAGTGTACAAAATAATATATGGATTTGTTTTACTTGTAATATATAAATAATACAAGTACAATATATGGTGAAAGTAATGTAAATGAACAATATTAAAAGCCAATATAATGTAATTATTTTGAAACGAGGAATTGAAATTATTAATTAGTGATTCAATATCAATTATTTTATGATCTTACTCAATTCTCTCTAATTCTATAAATCCACTTAATTAAAAAGAACTTAGGGCTTGTTCTCATTGACTGAACTCAGCTGAACTAAACTGAACTGAGCTGAACTGAACTGAACTAAACTAAACTGAACTGAACTGAACTAAACTGAATTGAGCTGAACTGAACTAGAATGAATATTTTATAAGAGAAGGAAATTAGGAGCTGAACTGAACTGAACTGAGCTGAGCTGGACTGAACTGAACTGAACTGAATTTCAACGTAAGAGAATAGGCCCTTAGTTTGACAATTATTCTTTATCATTGAGGACATTGATCAGAAACATTAGAAACCCCTTTTCAATTCTTCAAAAAATCTCTTCATACAACGGAGAAGCATGCATGCTAAATAAAGATAGCAACCCTGCCTTTGTTGGTAGAAGAGAAATGTTGGTGATGTTTAAGAATAGAATTGAATTCCAAATTATTAGTATAATCACTATGATATGAAGTGCATATAAATATTTATATTCATTGAAATTCCTATAATCTTTATTCATTTCTCCTTCCTTTTTACAAATGCCATGTGTATTTAAGTATTTTGAATAATTGTTTAGATTCTCCACCGTCCTTAATGTTTGAGTGACAACTCAATGAGGAGAAGAGTTTACAGTTTACTACACTTCTTTTCATCCTATTATGTGACCATCATATCATCTAACCAACATAATAAACCCACCATAAAAGTTGCTTACATGTTTCACATAATCACATTTATTTATTGACTACACTAGCTCTTGAGAATTTGGTAAAGTTTTGGGTGAGACTGACTCACGTGAGTCCACCATCTTCATTCTCTTTATTCCCCTTTCTCTGTTCTCCCTCATCAATGGCGTCCAGATCCTCCACCACTCTCCGCCTCCTCTCAACTTGACAACAATGAATCTCCTCCAACCCCCCCCCCCCCCCCGTAAATATACTCTCTCTCCTCCTGAACCTCAATCCAAAACCCTAAAATAGATGAGTTCATCTGATAGCAGCGAAACGAAGAGTATTCTGTCAAAGTAGGGACAATGAACAAGCCTATTTCGAAACCTTAATGGATGAAGGAATCTGATTTCCTCCCTTCCACTCACTTCTCATGAATTTCATTCTGTTTGGGCAATATAATTTTTTGATTTTAGATTAATGGAGAATGGAAAAAATGTCAAATTGGTTTCCTCCATTATTGAAGCGACTTTGAGGTGATAATTTTTTTTTTATAGTAGATTACCAATTTCAATGTATTGTCAGTTTCATTAAGGGCGTGTTCGGCAAAATATAGTTGTGAAGGTAGTTGTAGCTGTGGAGGTAGCTGTTAGCTATGTAGGTAGCTGTTAGCTGTGAAGATAAATAATTTAGATATGAGTGTTCGGTAAAGTAGTGGTAGACTAGCTGTTAAATATAAAAATCAATTTTTTATTTTTAAAACTATAGATTAAATTTTCAACAGCTACTTGAAAAGCTACCTCTAATTTCAAAAGCTAATGTTTCTAACTTTTCACAAAAGCTACCTCCACCACTAAAAGCTACCCTAACCACTACTTTGCCAAACACTCACATTTTTTGTTGAGTAGTGGTTTGACTTGGTCAAACCACTAAAAGCTACCTAAAAGCTACTCAAAAGCTAACGCCGAACACGCCCTAAATGTTTAGTGTCAGGTATTAGATTAATATTGTCAAGCATTAGATTAGTATTGTCGAGTATTAGATTGTCAGGATTAGAAAATTTTAGTCATGAATAAGATTCTTTTTATCATAAATAAGATAATTTCAGTCAGGAATAAGATTATTTTTATCAGAAATCACTACAAGAAAAAGGGGTATTAGCGACGACCAAAGTAGTCGCAAATCCGTCGCAGAAATGGATTTGCGACGGATTAGCAACTACTTTGGTTAGTTGGCAAAGACCTCGTCGCAAATCTATTTTTGTGACTAATTTTTTAACAGTTGCAAATTTAGCGACAGATTTGCAACGACTTTGCAACTGTCATTTAACGACTAACTTTCAAATTTTAGCGACTAAATCATTGTCCGTTGTAAAATATTTGCGACGGATTAGCGACTACTGAAACTAATGTTTTAAACTACTTTTTGCGACGGATTAGTAACTACAAGACCAAATTCTGCGACTACAAAACCAAACTTTGTGACTACAAAGACTAATTTTCTTGCGATGGATTTGCAAGTTAAGGCCAAAGTTTTGCGACTATTGAAACTAATTTTTTTGCGACGGATTAGCGACTATGAGACCAAACTTTTGTGACTACAAAGACTAATTTTTTGCGACAAGTTAGCGACTATTGAGACCAATTATTGCAACTAACCAATTAGTCTCAATAAGAAATTTGCAGTCACAAAATTTTTGCAACTGATTATTAATATTTGGAGACCATAATTTAGTGACGACTAATATCAATCACAAAAAAAAAAAAAAAAAAAAAAAAAAAAAAAAAAGAAGTACCCACACATAAACTCAAATAACCAAAATGTTAATTTTATTCAAATATTCAAAATATCATCATCAATTTTGTATCATTGTATTAAAAGACAATATTGATAACCATAAGAATAATTGTTTTAAAAATCACCTCTCATATGAAAAATAAGATCTAATGACGATATACAATATGTATTAGGGGTGAGAAGTAGGATTTCTCTTGTAGTACATTTGTGAAGCACTCCCTATACCATAGAATTTTCCATTCTTTTGCATACCTACAACCTCTAAGTAGACTTTGTCGGGGTTTATCTCAACTCCTTTGTTCTTATATTCCTCAAGTTTTTCCAAATATTCTCCCTGCATTAAGATACGTATTAGTAACTATGTTCTCAATTGTTTAAACGTAAGAGACCAAAAAAAATAAAAATAAAGCAATACTTATAATAAAATATCAATGTAAACAATTATTAAGAAAAAAATTTCGACAAAGTCTCCTTTATAAATCGAACAATTCCCTCCTATAGGGTATGGCTTCAAAACCTATTTCAATTCACATATGCCATACCACGTTAATCATTTTATTAACGCCGGCCAATTATTCTCATCCTCCAGCTCAATCACACAAACAAATATATAATCTACAATATCTAAAAACATTTACTACCATATATTTTTTTTGTAATCTTAGCAAAATATACAAGTATTGTCATACCATGACTTGATAAGTCTTTTCACCCATCAATTCAATTTCATCATTGCCCACATCAATGGAACGATTGCTCTCATAGACTTCGGCAGCAATTGGTAAAACTCCATCCTTTTTCTTTGCCTTATTAGAAGTTGTTAGCACTAAAAAATAAACAAAAAAAAGGGGACATATAAAAAGGAGTAGGGATTGGCTTAGTTATGTATTATGTGGTGATTGTATCCTTTAATGTTCTTTCTGATATATTTTACAAAAAGCAGCCCAACTTCCCTCATTTTCTTTACTGTTCTTTCTGATTTATTTTGCTCTTGCTTTAGTTGTGAGAAATCGAGTGAAAGTAGTAGCAGTTCGTTACATAATAAAGGATAGTTCATAAGTAATGTCTAATGACATAGCATAATACCAAACACTTGATTCATTCCAAATTTTTAATCCAAAAACTCTGCTGAACTGCAATGAACCAAGGAGCTGGCATGCCACGTAAACGATCACATATACAAGGAGGGGAAGAATGAACAAAGCAGTAGTAGCACATCATAGCACACTAAGTGATAGCAACCCACCAAATTATCACATAGGACAGGGGAGTAGTTGAGATCTTCTATCAGCATTGTACATATAAAAAGGGGTGAAGGGGCAATGGATTTGTAGCTAATTTCTTTTGTAATATAGTATTCCTTGAGATTTTTGACCTAAAGTCACAATACTAGAGACTGGTATCCTGAAGTCACCCTTGTAGAGTAGTAGTAGCCATTTTTGTAAGAATGAAACCCATCCTTTTTTCCTCAGTTTTTTATTTCTTTAAAGTTTGCATCATTATTGCTAGTTGTCTTGTATTCTGGTGAGTAATAGTCTAGTTCGTCACATGAACACA